TCACTGTGTGGGAAGATTTGCATAACGCCGCCCAAATGTTCACGCAAAGAAAGAAGGCGTAACTTTTATTCTCGTTTTTGTCTCGTCGCTTCGGCCGGGACACGGCATCAACAGTATGGTGAGGTGCGTAACATTTCCGTCTCACGCTTGAGGTATTTGGCCAATCACAACGCACTGGATAGCTGGCTAATCAGAGCACACCTCGCTTTTCAGACCGATTAGTTTTGTAAAAATCGACGCGTTTCAAAAAGGCGGGGCATAGAGGAGAAACAATAATGTACAGTATGTGGAAAATAATGTGTTTTTTTTTACTTTAAACCGCATAAACACATTTCATTACACCAAATACACAAAATAATGTTCTTTTTAGCAGCATCATATGACCCCTTTAATAATATGAGTTAATCTAACCTTGATATTTTACATTCGTCAAAACAAATAGGTTTTAGTTGAGCTCCTAATGAAAAATATTTATATTTATCAATATTTTGAACTAAAAAAAATATTACTTGAAAAATAAAACAAATAATGGTAAATTTAATTGAAAGACAAATTATTAATTGGATGAAGTACTGCTTGAAAAACTTTTTTCAGTGTAGGATATAAAATTCTGAAGAAAGATAAATTTGTTTCCAAAGTATAAAACATTAAATGGATTTCTATTTTGCATGCATGATGATTAGAATTAGTGGCTATGAAGAAGATTCTGTGTTTTATCTCTGATATACATTTACTTTTATTCATTTGGCAAATGCATTTATCCAAAGTGACATTCAAATGAGGAACATCATGAACTAAAGTGAAGAAATATCTTGTGAAATGGTGCTGTAGCACTTTTTGTTTGCAAACATGAAAAGTCAGAGTGGGATTATAAAATATGGTTTTCATTTAAACCCATACATGTTCCAAACAAGCCCATAATCTATGTTAACAAATTCAATAATTTCTGGTCATATGTATTATTAATTATATTTATTATTTATTCTTATAAATTTTGAATCACAAATGAATCACTCGTCTGAGTTGGTTCCTTTCAATGGACTGGTCAAACAATAGCGAACTTTTAAAGACAGAGAACAAATAAACGCTGTATGAAGTTAAATATTTACCTACAATTAATTGAAACAAACCTGCAAATGCATCCAATCTTTCGACAGCGATGATGAAGGTCTTTATTACATTCGCATAGCTACAGGTGGGCCTGCATTCACCTGTCAGTCAGGCCCATCTGGTCAGTTGCATCACAAGGTAATAAGGTAATGAGTGAATTCTGTTGCAACTCATCACAATACCTGACCTATAAAAATAATTTTTATTGTTTCTTGATATAATGTTAGATTTTTGAGATATAGTGCCGTAGCTCATTTCGCAGTCAGATTGTGAACAGCCCATTGCCAGTATTCAGGTTTAAGTCCCCACCAGGATATATAAACCTGTACACACACACACACACACACACACACACACGCTGTCACGGTATTCAGCTGGTGTGCCTTAGATGGCCACCAGAGGTCAATGTGTCTGTTTGTGTCAATGTGTCCACCTGTGTCTCCCTCGTTACCCTCCTCGTTTGTCCTATTTATTCTCCTGGTGTCTGCAGTCCTGTGCTGTTTTGTTGTTTATGTCTGAGAGTCGTTGTCGTGTGTATGGTATGGTATGGTATGGTATGCTTGCCCTGCCCTGCTTTGCCTGTTTTTCCCCCTCGGGGTAGTTTTTGTTGTTTATTTTTATTTTTAATAAAATCCCATTCGTTCCTGCAGTTGAGTCCTCGCCTCTAGTGATGCAATGTCTGATTCATTTCCGCAAACCGGTTCTTTTCGGACAGATCGGCTCATTGAACCGGTTTAAAAACGGGTTCATCGGTGGGGCAGGGGCCACTTGTGCGTTTAGGGGGCACACTTTTAAAATTAATTTTAACCTACTTTCAGTATTATTCAGCCAGTCATTTTTCACCATGTCATTTATCACTGCAATTTCTAGAAGTAAGCTATAACAATTTAAACTCAAATGAATGTTTCATCATGTTTCATTTATTCATTTACCCCCGTGTCAACAAGCTTGGCCCCCGCTCTGGCCCCCCTAAATTTGGAATCGTATCACACAAAACAATTTTGGGTCCAATGCGCAGTTTGTCCTGTGGGTGGCAGTAATAGAAAAAAGTAAAACATCACCAGCTGCTACTGGCGCAGAGCCAGACACGTTTTTTTTACAGCGCTGCGCATTAAAATCAATCACACACGATTCTGTTGAGCTTATAAATGCAGCTGCCAATCAGAGGCGTTTAGATGAGTCATCGGCAAAAAGCCGGTGTTTTGTACAATGCGCGCGCTCGCTGACTGAATTCTGCTCTCTGGCGAATTTTCTCATCATAAACAACAAACAAGTGCAGATGTGCGTACGAATGTAAGTAAGATATTAATTTCATAGTGTAAACCCCTTCAGTGATTTTGATGGGAGTTTATGAGAGTGCTTGAACTCTGGCTAGACTGAAGTCAGTGAAATTGTTTTTGATAATGCAAATGTTCTTTGCTCTCTTTCTGTACCATGGAAGTGTTATAATTTGTAGTGTTTTTATTAAATTCACATTAAATACAAAGTCAGTCGTATTAAAAATATTTTATGGCATGACACCCATATCTGGTACTTAAGTAAAAAGAGGGTTTTTTGCATAGTTGATAGATTACACTATTATGCTCATTATAGATCATTATAGATCAACTAACATAATCTATAAAGGTGCAAAATGCATTTACTTACACATATTTGAGAATCAAGATATTTCATGATAGAGTTAACACGTTTGGGAATATTTTGAATAAAAAGGAAAAAATCATTTATTTGACAAATAATTTTGTATTGTAGTGTCCGGGGCATCATGCACTCATTATTTTTGAGGGGGCACAAGTGAGGGGGGGGGTGTCACATGCCAAGCATGTGTCACATGCTTGGCATGTGA